TAGTGCCATCTTGGGAGCCCTTATCACAAACAAAGTTAAAGACAAGTGACAAACTTGGAGAAAATAGAACAGAGGGCTAATCTCCCTAAAGAATTCTGGTAACATTGCCAGGTTCCGCTTTCTCACACATAGTTCCAAATGCTGTGTTCCAAACAACTGCTGTGAGGAATGAAAGTTTCACCAGTCCTTGGACATAAATAAGTTAGTTTTTCATAAAGCTAGAAGTATTTCTAAGAATTGTCTTTTCTTCTGTGAATATGTCCTCTCTAATTTTAACAAGAAAATGTTCTTTCTAGTAAATCACTATTATAATTTATGTGGTAATTTGGGGTTTTTCAAATGTTTTGTTTGACAAACTATTAGTAACTAACTCATTGCAGGTCTTTCTCATTTCTTTAACTGATTTGATTGGTATGAGGAATCTGTTATCTAATATGTATCCATGACATTGAGGACCTTGTCAAAGAAAAGAAGTCAATGCACTAAAGAGATAAAGGCGAGGGAAGAGATGGGGTAGAAGAAAGGTGTATTTAGAAAATATGGTGAAAGAGAAAATAAACTAGCTCTGCAAGAGTGATGGGGCCACACAATAAAAACTGTCAGGGCCAAGGTCCAAACAGGTAACACAAAAGTACAAGTTTTCTAAGTTTCAAAAGACAACCAACTGAGAAGTAGGGAGGAAAAAGACCCAGTGAGTGAGTCAGTTATGTTTTCTTTATGCGAGAGCTACCCTGGCTGATGCTGCTCCCCTCAGATTCTTGCACTGGGGTTCCAGGTGGGGACCACCTTGTCAACATAGCACATAGTAGCTCTCTGTAATTTTTTCTGGATATTAAATGTTTGATTCTTCTGGTGCTGCTCCTTAAAGAGTTGTTGGCTCATTAGATTAAATGACCAAGGCTCCATCTTAATCTAAAATGGATTGGACTCCACTAAAAGTGCTGCGTTATGGGAAATGGTTTCGTTGGCCAGTGTCCTCTATGCTCTCCTTGGGACTGTGGCGTGCTTATGCCTGTCATCAATGTGCTCATACCTCAGCCAGAACTCAGAAGATAAAGAGTCTTCAGCTCTGTGCAAAACTAGCCCTGGCACACAATCAGTGAGAAAAAGAGACCCGCACATCTCCACCAGTTCTTAAGCTGAAGACCTAATAGATCATCCTCATCTGTTGCTTTCTGATAACACAGGGAAGTTGTTCATGGACAGCAAAACATTGTCTTTGGTCAGTAGTCCTGTTGGCTCCAAAAGGCTATGATGGAGTCCTTTTCTAATTTCTCTGTTCAGACTTGTCCCAAGTGTGGGCTAGAAGAGAAAAAGACTGTTACTAAGCAATATATTTCACATGTTCAGTGTTCACTATGCTGTATTTTTGGCACAGTTCCCATAAAAATTGCTGCAGAAGCTATCAACATTGCTTTTATGAAGGCATCTTCCATTTTTATCATCCCCAGGTTTCAATAAAAACTCTCTCTTTCCATTTCCACAGATGGCAAGAAGAATAGACAGCAGAATATGCTTTCTGCAGATGATTATTGATTCTCTTTCATTATATGCCAAATACAGCCTGGATTTTTAATTATTATTTTTTTTTAATTTTAGAATGACAAAACAGAATGATAAATGGATTATATAGAAGACTAAGCAATATTTTATCCTAAGAATAAGGATATAAGCCTGCAACTTTGTAAGGCTTAACTTAAGTAAAGGGCTCCTCTTTTAATGCTTCCTGTATTCTTAAATCATTCATTCATTTACTCATTCAAAAATATTGAGCACCATGTGAGTGCCAGACATTAAATTAGACAATGTGGGTTTAGCATACATAAAGCACTGAATAGGACAATAGATTTCATTTATTTATTTTTGTTCTACACAAAACTTATACCTTAAGGTATCTGCATAAAGATGCAGGTGGAAAATAAAGAATGAGGAGAATTGCAATCCATAAATTTTGTTTGCAAATGGTTATTCATTTCCCTCTCTTTCCCTCCCCTTCCCTCAACTTGCTAGATAAAACCCAACGTATTTCCAGGAAAAAGGAAATAAACTTAATTCTTGCTATTATAGTAGATTAGTCATCTTCCTTTAAATACATCTGCTTCTGTGAGATGGGCATTAGTTGGGTCAAGCCCTGAAAAAACGCAGTTACCTCCATGGTAAACTCTTTAAGGGAATACAATATATGACCTTCAACATATCTTATCCAACCTTAACTTTCTATCTCAAATTTGTCTTTCATCAAATATCTGATTACCTCTTCTACATGATTAAGAAAATTATTATTATTAGGAGGTTGTAATGGTGTTTTCATTGCTATTTATCATTTATAATCCCCCTTCAGCTTTTGAAAGCTTTTCTTAAGATAGAAACCATGAATGATATGTACCTTTTAAAATAGAGTAACATGAAGAAGGGGAGGAGTTCTTATAGTTCCTGTTATTTTTTTCCTAGAAGTCACACCCAGGCAAAGGCACAGCAAACTCCCTCTCAACATAGAGCTATCTTCTTACAACATTGTTAGTTTTTGGACAATATTTGATTCTACTTTCTTACCTTCTGTTGAAATTGCCACCATGGCTAAAAAGAACTGACCCTGGGTCAGGCACTCTCCTGAACATTACAAGCATTAACTATCTAGTACACAAAACATACCAGAAAGGCATTATCATTAACTCTACTTTAAATATGAAAAACTAAAGTTTAAAGAGATTAAGCATCTTGCTCAAAGTCAAATAGCTGGTGGTAGCAGAGGGCTCTACACTTCCAGGCCAGAGTGCTTCAGCACTAATTAGTGAGATCAGCTTAGTTAGACTTGCTATCCTTTTTCAAGTGAATAAGACAGAATAGAAATGATCAGAATTCACCACACACAGTAAAAGGTAAATAATGTGTAAAAAAATTTCAGTATGTGTATGTGTATTCAGTATGCCAAATTGTGATACAAAATTTATTTCTGTGTTAGTACCTCAAAAAAAAATTCAATGCTGCCACACTAAAATATATTGACTCTCATTCACTCATTTTCTCAATATAAGAGGACTACTAGTTTTTATCTTCTCTCTATAGAAATCTTTACAAGCAAAAATTTAAGAGATTTAAAAATCTATGCCTCTCCCTGTAGGAATAAGCTTAACGAGCTAAAGCTTGGAGCCACACAACAGCATTTTCTTAAACTAGTCAGACCTGACTGGTCTTACACCTAGTTGCTGATAGTAAATCATTCAACACGGCAGCAATAGCAGAGAAAATGTATTTTGCTTTTGTATGAACAAAAATCCTATGGGTAGAAAAACATCTAACCTCCCTCCCAACTCCTTAATCCCCTGCCCTCCAGGAAAGCCAACAGGTGCATCTGAGCAGCCTAAGGAAATATATACTCTATATCCAAGAGAGGGCAAGACTCTTTTATGTGTTTGCTGGATCATAAGGTTTACTATATCTGAAACTCAAATAATCAAATAATCTGCTCATCCTGTCTAATGACATAGCCAAATGTTTATCATGTATTTGTAACTCAGATATTACTTTAGTGCCTAAACTCAAATCCCTTCCCGGTAACAAGTGACTATTTGTTAAACAATGAGAGTCACAGGTTTTGCTCACTTACAAAAGCATGGTAACTGACTTGATCTGGTGGCAGAAGCCCTGGATATTAAGCTGCATTTGCTGGGAGCACCCAAAATTCACAAGGGCATTCCCCAATAGTTAGAGTGGAAATGCTTTCACATTCGCAGTCTCCCTTTCCTCGTCTTTACGTGGAAGCAATAATAAGGACCATACAAAGTTGTTATCAAATTAAATAAAATAATTAGGAAAATCCCAGCATGAAGTGGATAATGTTCCACCAGGTATGCCCCTGATCCTTCTACAGGAACAAAATATTGTACTGGCCCAAGGCTATTCCTGGCCATGATGCAACCTTGAGTTGGCATGGTTAGGAATGATTTGCCAACACCCCACACTCCCTTCAATTAGAAGCCATGCCTGAGTCTACATTTTCCTTAAATATATTTCTGTGAAGGTTCATCTTGTACTCCTTTTTAAGAAATATATGACTTCTATAACTTTGTTAGAATACTTTAAAAGAACACATCTATTCATTTTCAAGAAAGTATTCTCAGAATTTCTAAATTTGGGACTGTTCTGTCCATAGATACAGTAATTTTACAACAGTTAATTAGAGTTCCTTTCTGCACATTGTCGGTCAACCTACCAGCTTTTCAGCTCTCAATTGTCTTTTTTTATGTTCCCTACACAAATAAAAATTATTTTTAATTAGTCCTTTTTGAGGATGTTAGCTTCTAGAAATGCAGATTCCTGATTCAATTTATATCCTTCTAACACAATGATTTAGAGGATCCTCTGAGTTCAAGGGAACAATTCAGTAACTCCTGTGTGACTTTTCAGACAGATGACTGCATTAGCCTTCACTAACCCTGACATATAGGATAGCATCCAGTTTATAGTTTCACTGATGGATTTACTGAGCGAAAACCACTGTGCACACTGCCTGAAGCTGTCAGATACCATTGTTTAGTGTTATCTCTTATTTAAATGTGGTTCTGGATTTCTCCATTCCCAATGAAACTCTCCTTTTGCATCTGTTTTTAAATCTTCTCAAAGTCCTCTAAAAGACTGCTAAGTAGGTAATTAATCGATGGGATACTTAATGTTAGCTCCTACTTTGCCTTTCTATTTCTAGAAGTAGACAAGTCTTGATTTCATATCAAAAGTAGAACAGTTGTTTTCCTCCTGCTTGCTGTTGCCTGCCTGAAGTAAATTCAAAATAAGCTTGGCTCCGTTCTCGGTAAAGCTGGTGTTTGTCATGAATATAATTGTTCAAAATGGTATTGGTGATTATTGTTCACAGAAATTATGCACTAAGAACAACACCAGGAAACTCAATTCATAAGGATCTTGTGAAAATTAAATGGTATAACATGAAAAGAGTAAGGACATATGAGTTGTTACACAAAATTGTTGTCCTTTCTTTCACATAGAGTTTTTACTAACGGAAGGCAGCACAGTAGCGGCTTTGTGCCCAAAAGGCTATTTCCCCTGTGGAAACCTTACCAGATGCCTACCCCGAGCTTTCCACTGTGATGGCGCGAACGACTGTGAGAACGGTGCTGATGAGGAAAACTGTGGTGAGTCCTCCCATGTGCCAGGCTGCAAACCTTGCCTTGTCAACCCCCCAAAACTGTAGAGGAAAGGTGTGAGTAGCAACTGAAATGAATGGAAAGAGATGGCTTGCTATTCTTTAGGGAATCCTTTTAAAATACAAATAATTGCTCCTCAATTTACTTGTGATAATTGTTTGGATTGTCAAATACAGAGGCTGTTTAAATCAGAAATGCAGTATTAGTCAAAGCAATTCTTCAGAGTATAAGATAAAATTAGTGGTTATCAGAAGGGAAAGGAGAAGGAAAAAGGAGGTGGAGTAAAGGGTAAAAAGGATCAATTGTATAGTGAAGGATGGAATTGGACTCTTGGTGAACTTAATGTACAGATGCTGATATATAATGATGGGTACCTGACAGCTATATAATGTTACAAGTTGATGTTACTTCAGTAAAATGTCATATTTGATAAGAATTGACATTATATATTTAAAATCTACCTTGATATCCATATTTTGATTATAAATGACTTCCTCTGACACCTTTTTATGATAATTTGATTCAACTACAAGAATAGCCACAAAGTGTGAAGCTGCCTTAGAGGCTCAAATCATTGAACAACCCTGTTGAACAGCACTCTGCAAAGTGCTCTCCAAATCATAGACATCCAGTGGGCTCAAGGGAGCAAGGGATTTTGCCCTTCTGGAGGACAAATATACGTGCATGTAAAAGTTAGATAATTTCAAAATGATAAGTGTTGTAAAGTCTATACAACAGGATAATGACTTAGAAAGTGACTTGGAGGGAGGACTACTTAAAGATATAACCTCAGGAAGCCTCCCTGAGATGATGACATTTGGATTGAGAATTGAGTGACAAGAAGAAAGAAACTACAGAAATATTCTAGCGGTATAGAGTTCCAGGTAAAGAATATAACAAGTACAAAGGCCTGTTGATGTGTTTGTGTCTATAGAACAGAAAAGCCTATAGGCTTGAGCAAATGAACAATGATAAAGAAGGTAAAGGGGCACCAGGTCCCAAAGGGTCTGTGCATCAGGGCTATTTATATTATCTAAGCTATTGAATATATTTCTCTCCAGGCAACTGATGCCAAGAGAGACTGATACATCTAGTTAGTCAGAGTAAATACTAGAACCCAGGTCTCCAAAATATGAAAGGATCTCATGTGTTTTTATTGCAAACTGGTACCCCACTGCATTGTCCAACTAACAATCAAAGTGGAAATGCAGTCCAGGAGTGATGGGCATCTGTAGTATCTGCTTTCCCCTCCCTGGAAAGGGAGCGTGTGTCTCCTCTGTATTGGACCTTCTCCCCTAACCTCCATGAATCATTCCTACTCATATTTTAGGTTGTAACTCAAGGATTCCCTTCTCAACTGAGAAGCTTGCTTCCCTGGTACAATGCCTCACCCTGAAGTCTACCTCCAGTCTAGAACAAACACCCTCTCTGTCTGTTGTCATATCATTCAGCTGTACCCATATGGTTGTAGTAATGACTGCCTTGTCTTTTCACTATACTTCTCTCACTGGACAGGAGCTACTCGAAAATAGTTCTTACTTATGTCTTATTTGCTTTGGTGTTGCCAGTGCCTAGAAGAGTAAAGTACACAGTAGGCGCTCAATCAGTACTCAGTGGTGAGAGCAGCTCTGGATGCCTAGGGCAAGTCACAAATTCTCAGCCTTTCCTCTTCACTGTGTGGGAATCAGAGACCATAGGGTTATACCTACTTCATGAGGCTAGTCTGAACACAAACGATATAAATTCATGTACAAACATCAAGTAGAACCATTTAAAAAACATTGAGGATACTAATGAAGAATTGAAATAAAGTAAAGGTTGTAGGGTTCAAGTGAACCCATGGGCAATGATTTAAATTTATTTTATTAGTTATACTAATCTAAATCTTGCACTATGATATGTGTCTTGTTTGAATAACATATGGTAGTGATACTTCAAAATCAGCCCTGTTTTAAAAGAGTATTATTTTATACAAAAAAAGAAGGAAATGCAAGCAAATAAGCAGATCACATCCTCTGACAAACTGAAGAAATATTTCTCTCAACAGGATTAGACAATCTTTATTAAAAGACCCTCTGTTTATTGAAAAGACCAGGTGATATAAACTTTATCAGAACTCATTGCATTTATTGAGTAGGTATCTACACATACCTATGCAACAGTATGAGTGTGGCAAAATAAAGTTTAGATTATATTTTCTTCTGAGGATCTCAAAATTAAGATCACACATTTAAAATGAGAACATTGGGAATAGGTAATATCTTTCAAGATGGAAATACATGTATGTAAAATAGTTATTTATTTCCATTACACATTTGTGCTACATCCATTTGAAATACGCATAATTGCAATGTTTGGCCTAGCTCTTTCTCCCTTACTATTGATGTATCATTCTATTACTTAAATTTTATTTGATTTCATTATCACATTTTCATAGTTTGTTTTGTAATTTGATATTTGGTTATAGACTAACTGACCCATATTCATCACCATTTCACAGGCGACACTAGTGGATGGGCGACTATATTTGGCACAGTCCATGGAAATGCTAATAATGTGGCATTCACACAGGAGTGCTGTAAGTGGTATTGGTTCAAAGACTCAGAATCAACTTTTGCTAGCAGTGTGATTTGTGGTGCATGGATTTATATGTGTAGTGTGATAAATTTCCTTTCAAATTTCAATTTCAATGTATTGCAATGGTCACAGGTTTGTTGTCTTGGTGCATCTGAAAAGATAAAAAGAAAACACAGCAGCATGCTCCACTCATGCTAATGTTATATATATCGGCCAATGAATGCAAGAATATATAGGTGTTGAATACTCATGACAAATAATCAAGGTCTTATTCCCTTTCATTACTTTTCAGTAAAGATACTGAGCACCAACTACTTTCTAGTCCTTGTGTTAGGTACTGAAAGTACACAGTGATAACTAAAATGTGGTCTCAACTACAAATACCTCCCTTTGTAGGAAGAGAGACAAGCCCTTTTAGAAACAGGAAATAACATTAGTGCTACACTGGCAGAATAGCATTCACACAGGGAATGTGGGAGGCCAGCAAAAGCAATGATTCCTCTGCTGAGGATGGGAAAAGTTCTTCAGAGTAAATAACACAGAGATGGACTTTGAAGCCCTTGACAGAGGAAAGGGTTAGAGGTGACAAAATGAACAGAGGAGCAAGATTAGCAAAACACTGGAAGGTAGGAAGGTGCAGAGCATGCTTCCAGCACCTTTCACGGTGATTTTGAGTGTATCTACATTAAGTACAGCACTAGAAGCATATTAGACACTTTATAATACCAGTTTATAATTGCCACTTATTATATGCTTCGTTATTTGCAAGTGTATTAGGAAAATTCAAAATTAAAAGGAAAAAATTAAAAATAAATGTAACTGAAAGTTCTAATATTTTCTTCCTGAGCTGCAGTGGATCATCTTCATACATCCCATTGTGAAGATCTCTGCTGTATACCACGGGCCACCACCCAGCTTGTGGCTAATTTTCCTTTAATTTACAGGAAGAAGTGCATGATAAGAAGCATATATGAGACTGATTCTATCAGAATTGTAGAGAAGGCTTAGCATAGTGGTATTCAACCTGGGACAATTTGTCTCCAGAGAATCTGGGGTGAAGAGAACACTTCTGAAGATAATTTTGATTGAGACATCTAGAGGGGCAGTAGACTGTAACTGGTATCTAGGGAGGAGAGGCCAAGGATGATGCTGGGCACTCTTCAGTGCACACAACAGCCCTTGCCATAAAGAACAATCATCCAAATATCAACCTTGCTGAAGTTGAAGAGAAAGAATGAAGATACTGATTATTGGTTTTTGCAATGTTTCAGGCTAATAATAAAAGTCTGAACCTAGAAGATACCACTGGAAAGAGTAAGGTAGAGAGAGATGCAAGAGGCATTTGTGAAAAAGACTCCACAAAGCTCAGGGGTATGAGGCCAACAAGAGAGGGTGTTGTGTCTCGTTGCTGCTTTATACAACAAGTCCAGCTTTGTCTGTATAGAATTCTTGGCAGATAGGAGTTTCTAACCCCAGATTTTCAATTTTATTTATAATTATCTTAAATTTAATTGACTTCATTATTCCCATTAATGAGTTGACCATCATACTAATGTTTTTCCTTGAGAACTTAATCTTGCTTCACTATATGCCTTTATGCTATATAAAAACTTCTGTGGTTTCTTTTTTGTCACATAGTACATGTCTCTGAACTGACTACTGAAAACTAGACTGACTGAGATAAACACCACATTTGTCTATCTGTTTGACTAGGAAAGAATTCTTATTTCTTTATAGGTCTGAACTAGTTCATTCAGCAAGATATAAATATTAAACATACCTTGAAAAAAGATCAGTGTAAGTTAAAGTCATACTTAAAGATAAGTACTTTTTTCCTAGTGAAATCTACTCTTTCTGTTCTCTAGTTCTTAACCAGTATCCCCAAGGCTGTGACTGCAAAGCCATGGAACTGGAATGTGTAAATGCTGGTTTAACGTCTGTGCCCACCATCTCCAGCAATGTGACATTACTGTGAGTAGAGTTCAGATTTTGAGCATAAAGTCATATGAAAACTCTATCATCTCATCTCTTTTTGTTCTATTTATCTGCAACTGTATAGTAAAAAAAAATAAAAGTAGAAGCCACCTTTAAAACCACTGACCATCAGAATTCTGCATGATACTCTTCAGGAGAAAAAAGTCTTAAACATTGTATGTTAGATCAGACAAGTTATCCCTTGGCTCACAGATGACTGTGGTCTAGTATTGTTATTTTCAATTAATTTCTGATTTTTGTATTATTATTATTCATATGCCACTACTATACAAGTCCTTGGCCTGTACCCCAATTCTTGTATGCATGCATAAATAAATAAATCTTTAAAAAATATTTTAAAAAGAACAACTCTCACTTATACTGTCTTACCTTTAATAGTATGATTTGTCCAAAACTACAAAAATGTAAAAGATCCATCAAGTTAACCATGTAATCATGCAAGTTCCCCTATATTTTGCATAAACATTTTGAGAATCTCAAGAATTTGTAGGCATATCATAATTTAGGCATGCATGACTTGCTCAGAATTTTTATTTTGGTTTTTGTCTTTGTGTTTTATTAAAATGCCAAGAGAAGTAAAAGAATATGTTGAGGCACAGTAGACATCAATCAATTATGCTAACTGACTTAAACTTGTCAAATATTGGCAAACTACTTTAATTTTAGTCTGTGAACTTTTCATTCTCATGTGAAGAAGTTTTCAGTTGTTGCAGTCATATCTATATGTGTGTTAAGTAGCATGGACCATGGCCAGTCTCTCTTTTCAAGCACACAGCTTCAAGGGAAGAACTTAGTTGGTCATAAGATCCATAATGAACTCTGGCTTGCATATTATTTGTTATTTTAGGTCTCTTAAGAAAAACAGAATTCACAGTCTTCCAGGAAAAGTTTTCATCAAATACCCAGAACTTGAAAAGATGTAAGTAGCCATAAGTAGTGTTTTTACAGAAAATTTTTATGATGTTTGTAGTCTAAAAAGAAATGAAATAGGAAGTTGATTACCTTTACCTTTAATTTTCGAAATTTTATTAGCATTAGAAAATAAAACATTGAAATGCATATTATTTTTCCATTTCAAAACTTAAAATAACTGAATTGATTTTAAACTTTTTTTAAGAGTTAAATTGGAATTGAAATCAAGCATCTCAACAAGAACATACATAGCTCCATTCTTCTACTCAAGACCATTTGGAAAATGACAATGCAGAATCAGAGACACTAAATACGTTTTCAACTTGGAAGAAGAGTTTTAACACAGAGAATAGCAGTCAGATCATTTTAAATACATAATGATAAGATACAAACTGTCTGTCAAGATAACAAAAGAAAAAAATAATCTTAGTGAGACCAGTAATATTAGCATATCTAAAGGAAAATATCGATACAAAGGGTACAGTCAGCAGTAATGGTAGTTAGTCAGAAGCAAAATATCAGGTGCTTCTAGGATCATCCAGACAGAAAAAAAGGGTCTAAGAGATATAATCTCATTGGAGCCAGGCTTGATTTGTGCCACTCCACTGCATGGACTCTCTTCTGACATGATGCATATCAAGGTGGAAATCCCTTTTGCTTTGATTCCTTCCTCACATGTACTTTTTGATGGCTGCCTTGGATAGGGAATAAGGACATTCCTAATGGTGGAGTGAGTTCTCTTCTATTTAAATAGACATTGAGAATATTCAACTTCTCATGAGTTTGACTACTGTGTGTCAGTCCCTCTGAACCCAGTCACTCTGGAATAATGGAGAGATCAAATTTCTATGCTTATTAAGATGATCATTAGAGTAAATTTTAGAAGTGGTAAGGCAATGCTATAAAGGTCCCTTAGCATCTCATTTTAACCTTCAATATTCAGCATAGAGGACAAAGTACCTAGAAATATGTTTAAGTCCAATAATAAAAATATCCGATCCTTTGTTGGACAAACTCATTTGGCTTGAAAGTCCACCAACAATTCTGTGAAGTTCATGAACTTAGGTATACATTCCCTCAAACAAGAGAGGAAGTCTGATAGTGAGGTAGAGGTTGAGAAGTCTGCAGAAGTCAAACCCTACAACTAGTTAGTGGAAGAGCTAAAATTAAAGTCCATATCTTCTTAAACCTAACATAGTGGAAAGAAACCAGAAACTTAACAGTGGAAAGAAATTGCTCTAACATCTATTTGAATCTTTTGTCACACATTGCACAACTATCCCATGCAGTTTCCCTGCATGTGACTTTTGTTCCCTAATTTGGAAAAACTTGACTTCTGGGGATGGGGAAGAACAGATGGATCATTAGGGGGTCAAAGAAGTAGAATTAAATTGAACTTCTCAGACCAGATCCTTTCCTGGACCACTGATTCATAACTTAGCCATGATTTCTTACATTGTTTTCCCCAAAGAGTCTGCTTTCAGATCTGTTTATCATCTGGTCACACTAATTTGTATGTTTTCACCTACATTTGCTTTATGTGTGAGCTTGGAGAAAATACAATGCTGTCACTGTGATATGGTCAGCCAGAACAGGGTGAAGTTAGTGACCCTTCTCTCCTAACCTCCATGTACACTACACTTGTATCTGCTCTTCTGGTGACAACTTCACTCCTGGCAATTGTGCTTCTAAGATTCTTAATCTTGTGCCATTTGAGTTGCTACTAAATGATTGCTTCTCCATATTGTATATGTGTGCTTAGATTTGAGAGATATTTGTGGGTCCTTAATTGTACCCCTATTCAGCTTCATCTTGTTAGATTGGTTTTTATTTTCCAACCAAACTAGAGAGATCTCTCTGGATCATCCAACATGTTACTATCCCTTCTAGCATTCTGTCATCTTAAAATAGGATGAATCATTTTACCTAATCATAGAATAAAGTACTTGATCAATATCTGGTGAACATTGATAGATAAGTACTATTGGACAGATGTTTCATGATTACTCCATTAAAGAAGGAAACCAAGTTGTCCTGCTTCTCACCGACAGCTCTGTTCCTCTTTTCTTTAAAGTGCTCACAGAGAAGCACCCTAACTGTTTTTATCATCCCCAGAATCAATATGGAGATCACACTATAGCTTAAGAAGTCTACTTTCTTCTCTTTTGGAAAAAGCACATCTACATTTGCCCTGTTTAATTTATTGCCTCTCCTTAAATTAGAAACTGCTCTTCTCCTGGCTAGATTCTTCAGTAAGTGATTATGATTTAGGGTTCTCGTTTTTGCTATTTCTCAATTTCTAAAAGAAATTTTCCAAGCCAGAGGGCTTTAACTCATTTTGATGAACTGTGTTAGGCTTGCACTGCCTTTACCCTATATTCTTTTTGTTTACTTCAGTCCTGAGATCATCTTCTGGGACTGAGAAAAAAGGGAAAATTAAGAATTTGAAATGTGAATGGTGTTTCTTTTATAATTATTTCATAATAATTATATTTCATAATATTGTAAAATGGGGTCCATGCAGCAAGCTTGAGTTTTTTCTTAACGTTTTCTTATTTCTAAAACACAACCAGAAATGCATTTCTATTGGCCACAGGTTCTTCATTCCCTGAGTTTTGAATATGACTTTGGTCATTCTTTCTGCCATGGTTCCGTGCTGTGAACCACACACATTCATCCTTGAATTTTGAAGAAATCCTTCTTCTGAGTTGGGTGGTCCTTCTGTCCTCTCCTACCACCACAGCCACCACTTCCCTCATCATAGCACAGGCTACAATACATGTAGCATGGATCCAGGGAAGATCAATGACTAGTTAAAGGAATGAGATTTAGGAATGACCTGCAGGACTAAAGAGAAGGTGGGGAGCATTTTCAACAGGGAGAATAAAGAAACATAAGCTGAAACACTCAAAGGATACTGGGCAGAGAATGACCAGGGCGGTCTGTCTGAAGGAGATGATGGAGCTTATGTTGGTGTGGTCACTGAATCATGATGGTAGGGCTTTTGAATGCCAGGCTAAAAAGTCTGAGATTTACTCTGAGTAAGAAAAAGACAGGCACAAATATGTATTTTGGATTGAAGTGAGCCCACAAAGTTGATATTCATTTCTAAGTTGTTATTGGGATAGCTCAAAGACATAAGTGAATTTTACATTGACTTTTTGGTCTGGGGTGCTCTAAATGTTCACAATGGAGGTGAGATGATTTAGACAGAAAAATTAAATCCCAAGTCACAATGAGATTTTAATTACTAGGTGAATAGATGTCCAACTAACCTGAATGATTTTACTATTGGGTCAGTTTATTCATTTTAGTAATCTTTTAAAATAGCAAACCTCTCTCACACAGGGAGGGCAGTTTCAGATGACCTTTCAGAGAAATAAAACATAATTTATGAGACTGACTATAATACTTGATCACTGCTACCATGGAAACCAACAGCAGTTCTCATTGTAACAGAAACCATATATAAAATTCCTTTTTAAAAGGAATTTTCAGTGAATCATGGTTGTAAGGCTTTTGAATGTCAGGCTTAAAAAATCTGGGACTTTGAACACAGATTAAATACAATCGTTGACCACAAAATATAATTCAAGAGTCTGCTTGGCTCATGAATACAAAATGGTATATTTAAAAATATATATATAAGCACGCATGTCATTAAAGCATTTATTTGGTTTAGTTTCAGGTACATAAATTCCTGGCGTTTCTGCTTGAAAAGTCCTGACAGCTGAAACAGCAGGAATTCATGAACCAGTAAGTTATTCTTAGAAAAGCCATTCAATGTAAAGTATATTAAATGGGCTCATATCTCAACTCTGAGTAAAAAGAGGACACCACTTACCAAATTGTCATGTTTCCAAATCTCCCCTTATATTCACCAAGCTACTCTTCTTCAAAGTACACGAATACTAAAGGATCATGTTAAAATTCAGCAACCTAAATCTGAAACAAGGAATAGAGACTCTAATTTTCTATGGGGTGCCAGCGAGCAGACTAAATTGAAGACTAGAGCCCCCTTATTTTGAATGTATGAATCTTAACTAGAGTCAATAAAAAGTAGATAGGCTGTACACATCAGGTAAGTACACACAAGGTCAAATTCATAATTTATGGCCTTTCTTTTCAAGATGTGACATGTAGGTGAAATGTGCATTGCACTTGTGAATTAATTATCATGAATAAAATGTAAATAGCTTTAGTTAAGTAGTAAATTTTACTTTTAAGATAAACTTCAACATATTTATAACACATTACTCTTTTTGATTTTCATTTACTATTTTATCATAACTTGTCATCTTAATTTTCACTATATCACTCTAACAGCTCTGAAAATGCTACTATGGAATGAATCTGTATAGATTCAATCTTCTCATACCAGAACTTTAAACTAAAAGTGGAATTTTTGCTCTAGTGTGAAAGGGTCTCCTCAGACAAGATGCAGGGAGAAGGGGGTGGGTTTCAAGTTTACTTTAGGATTGAAACTGCTTCTTGGCTTATGGTTATAGGTACAATGCACATGCCCTGCAGTTCCAACCTTTTCCAGAAAATGACATAATTTGTCCTGAGAATGGATTTGTTAATAACTAGAAGCTGATCTGGGCTTTAACCTGTCACACCTGTAATGCTTTCATGGTAATAATGTAGCATAACAAAGTTCAGGGTATAGCCAGATTCCAGATGAGCATATGTTCTACCAGTGAAATATTGGTGTGGCTATTTCTGCCCCTAAAGGTATTTAGAAACTGTGAATCAGGGCTAGCAATTATATAATATGTACAGGAAATGGGAATTGTTTATTCAGATCCACTCTACAGTGCTATTTTAAATCAATGCTATATTGCTAATTAATTCAGAGGCTTAAGTAAATCAAGACCCTGTCATTTAAAAGCAGTAGATGAGGCCCAGCTCAGCTACTGGTGCCATTTTTGACCTTGAGCACCTGGTTAACCTCTTTGTGTTGGTCATGCTGCATAAATAAAATAAAAATATTTGCCCTCTCCCTTGTTTCATGGGAATCAAATGATGCTGAACAAATACAGAAGCTCAGCACTGAGAGTGGTTAGTCTCATCTAGTGAGCAGTACCTCCTCTCAGAAAAAGGAGGACCCACAGTTCCTCAGAGACATCACATAGGAGCTCAGAGAGAAAATTAGAATCTCATCCTCATGCTATGAGGACAGGCCAGCGCCATCTCTCAAAAGAAAACTTCTACTTCTCAATAGGAGACTAGAACTTGGGACTTTATAAGCTAGTTTCACAAACTGAAGAAAGTAGAGCTCACATTCAACCACTAATAAAGTGCATAAACCATAATCACATGACTTTTTCTTATTCCTACCAGATTTCTCCAGTATAATTGTATTAGACACGTATCCAGAAGAGCATTTTTTGGACTATATAATCTGCAAATATTGTGAGTAGCTCCTTTCTAACTATATTGTGTTCATAATGTTAAGAAAAGATTAAAATGGTATGTCTGTCTTAAATGTTTGACCTGGTTGTGGAGAAGTGTGAGGAGTAGTACTTATCAAAAAGTACTTGGATCAGTTATTACACTGAAATCATTGTGCAAAATTTCTGATTTTACCAGAGAACCTATATTAAGGCTCTTATTGGCCTTGTCTTGTTCAGTTTGGGTCCTTTCCACAAAACTTAACAATTTTCTAAGTTTTGCTAACTCATCTACATACTCTTATAAAATGCTAGTCTACTGAAGAATATAAGAATATGACCAAAAAGGAAAACATAAAAATCACCCCATGTATTTATTCTACTCTCATATTCTGATATAGGCCAATACTTTTCTGGCCTTGACCCTGACCCTGGTGCTGTACACACCAGGGGTTACGTGTACAGCCTGACTATTCTTTGCCTTTTCCTCCTCTGCACACCAGCAGAATGCCTTCAGAAACAGATGTTACTTTTCATAATCATCATCAGAGGCTCATATTTGAATTACATGTGACTAAAGTGGAGTATTGAGTTTGACTAATTAACTCCCCTGTGCTCTTTGTAGGTATCTCAGCCACAATTGCATTACGTCCCTCAGGCCTGGAGTATTCAAAGACTTACATCAGCTAACTTGGCTGTAAGTATTCTAGCTTTCACTTCACTTACAAAGTTTTATACTCATAATAAAATACAGAAGTGCATATCATTTCACTCTATTTATACATCCTGTTTATTGTACTTATATTTTCAAATAATCTAGAAATTTTACCCAAGCAGTTCTGACAGTGGCGTCCCGGATGGTGATTATGTGAAAAGAAATGGGTGCCATGCTTCCAGGAGGCCTTCTGAGCCCAGTGGTAGGCTTACTGGGCCACCTGTCCATGTACTGAATTTCTCAGCGTCAACTCTTGGCACGTTAGCCCAGGAAATTCTTCAGTACGAAGCAAAGAGTGTATGTCCTGTACATTTTTGGATGTTTAGTAGCACATGTGGTCTCTGCCCTAATACTTGATGGTAGTAATATTCATTTCCAGAGTTGTGACAAGCTAAAATGTTCCCAGACATTGCCAGTGTTTTCTGTGGAAAATGAAGGGAAAAGAGAGAGTGTCCTCTATGAAAAGACACAAACCTAGAAAGTAAAATGTTGAGGACTTTTTATTTCCAGAGAAAAGTCTAATGATATGATAACTCATGGTGTTTTATCACTTTGCTAGATAAGCCATCAGCAAGGAGTCTCACCTCATAAGTTTGTGTTTTCATCAAAAAATGAACAAAAGGCAGGCAGAAGGCACTCTGTTCCAGTTTGACTGTTTTCTATGGGTAAAAGTGATCTCACAGAAGAGCAGGCATCCAGCTACATCTAGATCCTGTGTGTGCTGTGGCCCTATGCTTAATGACCCAAGCAACTTTCTTAATTTTATTAGGCCTCTTTGTCCTCACTCATAAAGTACAATTTGTAAGAAGGACTATTGAGAGAACTAAATCACATAGCATATAGAAAATGCACATGTAATGATATACAGTAGTTGTTCAGTATAACTACATTCTTTAATTCCTGTCCTTGCCAACTGCAGAGAGTAAAAGGAAATAGTATTTGGCTTTGAAGGTAACAAAAGTTAAGAAGGCATATTTCCCATGAGTCTAATTTTTTTTCTAGGAAAATACCATATATAAGTAATAATAGTGATGTAAATTCTTTTACTCTTTTCCCTCAAAGTTTCTAACAGACTAACTTGTACATATCTTATTATTTAATAATAATTGCATCATTTAAACACCATGAGACCAAAGAACCATTTATGATTTCCTAAGTAAGAAGTTTTTCCATTCATTCTTTCTTCACTCAGCAATCAGGATCAGATCATATTATATAGAGAGCCCATATTTGGCCAGTTAGTAAGGGTAGTTTGTGCTGGACCCTGGTATCCAGAGACAAAAGGTACAATCTCAGTCCAGTGAGGTGGATACAGGGAGAGGAACTAATCTGAATGGACTTGAATAGTGCTAGAGGAAAGAATTGCTACAACCAGAGTGAAGGAAAGGTTCTCAGGGAAGAGATCTGCCAGCCAAATGTAGGAGGACACAGAGGAGAAGAGCAGGATTTGGGGGAGGTGGGACTATGATGGCCTTCTGCTTTTTTCTGATTTTATTTCACAAGTGTCTCTAATATTGGAAATGTTTGTGATATGTTTTGTCAGAATTCTAGATGACAATCCAATAACCAGGATTTCTCAGCGGTTGTTCACTGGATTGAATTCCTTGTTTTTCCTGTAAGTATTCATCTACTTTTCATAATGCTGTCCACAAACTGCAATGACATCTAGCTCTAGTTTACAAAAAGAACTTGAAAGAAATCAAAAATTTGTATTAGTGAAACCTTTTTGTATTTCCAATCGCAATTACTGTTGCTACTCCCAGGCCATGGCTCCTAGTATATACTAAGCCTTTCAGTTGATTTCTTTTTGAATCCCTTGCATGTCCTTTAGTCCTAAAGCATGTTTTCATTCACAGTGTTTGACGAAGATAATACCCATTTCAATTTCCGAACAGCATTTCAATATGTTAGACTTTCCCAGGAGTTCAGTACCAACTATATTTTAATAGAAGAAAAGGTGCCTTTACCCAGCGAGAGTCACTGAAAAATTCAAAATCTTTGGCTTACCAACAGGGTTGTTCTCATAATTACATTTCCACTACGTACTCATACACTGGAATGTTCCATCAGCAGGGGATCATCTTGTTCCTTTACAGTTGATTGTAGAGCTTTATTTTTCACTTATCAAAAGGAATCATGATGTCACAAATTAATCATGACACAATGTTTTCAAGAGTTGTTTTGGTTCCCCAAACTCCCCTCCCATACTTCTTAGATTTGATGCAGTTTTCAATGTGGTATTTACCATTGTAAATGAGTAATGTTTCCCTTTAGAAGAAATTTAGAATGTCTAGTACTAGAAATGATTGAAAAATTGAAGTTTACAGGGAAAATTACCATGAACTTCCAAATTATTAACCAAAATATACTTCATACATCTCATAAAGCTAAACTACATAATATTTACTCCTAGCTATGGTTTATACTCATGCATTCACAGTTTCAGTGATACTTGTTCTCCTACCCATGCTATACAATGTCTAAAGACCATATTAATTTTATCATGCATGTCCCAAATTGTGGAAATAATAAAATACTGTCCTTAAAGTGGTTTATCATTTTGCTTCTAATTAACATCTCCTTTTAAAGGTCTATGGTTAATAACTACTTAGAAGCTCTTCCCAGGCAGATGTGTGCCCACATGCCTCAACTCAACTGGATGTGAGTATGCATCTAGAATCTAATTTGTTGTTCACCCAGAAAACTAGCCCTTAAATTCCAGATGACTTAAGAGTCCATCTATGTTCTTTCTAAAACCAAAATTCTTCCTAGTTTAAACTTCTCCATGGGATAAAATTCAAGCTTCTCCTTGAGCACATAAGACCCCTCATTTTCTCTCTCTCTCTTTTTTAAGATTTATTTGTTTATTCATACAGAACTGGGGTATAGGCCAGAGGTGCAGGGGTAGTAAGAGGATTTACCAGAGAAAGAGTGGGGAGCAAAAAAGGCAGATTGACAAAGTACACTGCTGAGGGAGCAGCAGGCAGGACAGGAGCAGTCTGCCATGCCATGTGGGTCACCTCCATGATGGGGGACCGAATTAGTGCCCAAGCAGCTGCAGATAGATTCGTAGTGCTGTGCTTTAACCCAGGGAGGGCCCAAGACCCCTCATTTTCTATCCCTAACACCATTTAGTCTCTTTTACTTCTGCTCCTCTTGCTGGGCCTCCCTTTTAGATGTACCAAACTACCTCTTCTATAATCAATTAATCTCAAAAGTCTTGCTCCTTTATTGTTTTTGCTAACTCCAAAAATTCCTTCAAAACTCAGCCTAAACATCAGCTCCAGGAAGCTGTTCCTAACACACCAGCCAACATCAGTGACTACCTTGTCTCCTCTAACATCATAAGCAGACTTCCACCATGCCAGCCATTTTCTACACCTTTCTCACAGGATTATCGTGACAGAATCATTGAGTTGTCTTATATTATTCTATAAATTCTATGAAAACTGAAACCTTTCTTATGATTTTATACTCCAGCATGAGCAGGATTAGCATATAATAGGTAGTCAATGAACCTTAGCTAAATGAATATGCTAACCTACTTCCATTCATTTTAAAGTGGAACTTTGAAACAATACCTGTTCAAAACATTCAATTAAGTGACTGCCTGACTTCAGCACCACTACCCACGTTCCCCGTTGAGCTCACCCTTACCGTCTCCTGAGATAGCAGTGTTGTCACAGGCAGCTATTTTCTACTCTGTGAAAATGCTGCATGTATCAGCCCTCAGAACTCTTTCAATGGTTAAATCAGGGGAGTGTGATGCCGATAAGATGATAATAACTTCCAGTCCCTCAGCTCTTGGTCCTCTCCAAACTGGCCTCATAATCACTTGTTACAACATTATTATGTGGCTTGTATTTATCTACTGACTTTATTGGGTACTTATTTTTATGCCTGCTGTCAAAAGGAATTTAAGGCAGTAAAGTTCTCCTGTAAGTGTGCCATTGTTAAAAATGGAAATAATGATTCAAAAACCATGAAAATAAAACTCATTAAGAATGGGCAAAATAAATGCTTAGGAAGTAACTAAATATATCTATGTGAAAGGAAGCAAGCAGGAAAGAGTAAAAGTAGCATAAAAATGTATCGCAGCACTGGCCTGCCCTGTTCCCCTAAAATGAGCATCAGTGACAAGGAAGAAATCACGAAGCAGAGTAAAACTGGGGTTCCTTGGGTTCTCATTTTCACTATAGCCATAGACATCCAGTGTCAGTATGTAGTTGCTTGAACACAAATGACAACAGGCCTTTATTAGGATAGAGAACTGAGAGGTCAGAGCAGAATTGCTCCAGTTCAAAGGCAGGAGAAATTCTGCTTTGACCAGGCTTCTCATCATCTACTTGCTGCTAAGTAGACCTGTAGTTCACAGTTCTAAAATGTTATGCTTACAGGATGAAAAGCATTTTTCCTGTTCGATCTGACAATGTTTGGGCAAGAAAATATAGTGCTTATTATTTTTTTCACAGTACTTTAAGTGTGAATAAATGTCTAGTTCCTAAGACACCCAAGATGTCATTAAAAACAGTATTTAAAATGAAATGAACAAGGAATTGGTGATTTCAGTGTGAATGTGAGCCAATTCAGCAAAATAGTTATTGTCATGTATAGGGAAGATTGTGGGAAGTTGACTATTGTTAACTAGAAATAAAATCTCAGTGATGTTTAGATAGAGTATGTTAGATAATCAAAGTGAGGATTCTAACCCAGGAAGCAGTCAAGCAAATATTATTCTGCCAGAACTGTTCCAATAAACACGTTTGAATTTACTTCAGGAAAAAAAAAAAAAGAATTTACTTTAGGAAGAGTGAGCCACTGACATTAAGAATAGAATACAGAAGGAGTTTCTAGTTCTAAGTTGTCCTGACCTAAAGATATGACGATCCTAGTGAAAGGCAATTTCCCTTTCTACTTTCTAAAGCATATACTGCAAAGATGTAGTGCTGGCCTGGGTACCTGCTGTTAAAATCTTCCAGCTTCTAGGATATCAATGGCTTAACCTTCAAGCAGCCAGTGCCTGCATAGATTACGGGATGGAGCCTGTTTTGATTTAAGTCTATAAAAATAGCTTTGCTTTCTTGCCTGCTAGACCTGGAGGACAAAGGGGTGGCTCCAGAAAACTTTACAATATGTTCACACTGAAAAAAAAAGTTGGGAAACTCCTAACTTTTTTTCATTCCCTAGCACTGCTGGAAGCAGAATGTTTGAGTGGTCCTGAGGCTTTCCCTGAGTTTATGGGGTGTCCCTACCCTAAGGAATCACCTGTCAGGATGTAATCAACACCAGTGCTTCTCTAGTATCAGTTTACATAGGCGCACAAGAGAACTTTTATACTAGAGTTTATGGTTCAATAAGCAGGGGTGGAGCCTAAAAATCTTCATCCTAACAAGTTCCCGAAATGGTGATGCCTGTTCCAGCCACATCCACATCAGCATCACTAAGGATGGCAGAAAGATACAGGTCCTGATATTAGCATTCAGGACATGCCAAGTAACACTGGCCTTAGTTTCTCTTTCAGTAAGAGACAAATGACTTACCTGATGTTGGGAGGAATGTGAGAAGGTAACGATCTGCAATGCTGTGGATAATGTCCAGGTTTAGATGCAGGCATATCTGCGTTAGAATGTTAATCTACCACTTACTAGCTGTGTGATCAGAAGTTAATTTCCAAGAGTCTCAGATCCCACTTATATTAAGTAGAGGGGTAATAACTCCAGCTTTGAAATGCATTTAGAACAACACTTGACACTGTAAAAGCCCAATAAATATTAGTAACCACTATTTTGGTGGCACTATTATGCTAATTAATGGCATGGTATTTGGCACAGATTGATACATCATAAATGCTGGCCTGCTCTGTCCTCAATTTTATTACTTTCTAATATTAACTGAAAGGGAAAAAGAAGCATAATGTTAGGTATACTAACCCTGCAATAATTAGGAGGGAAGCATAAAAACTGGAATAAAGTAAAAATAAAATTTAGAGTTATTATAACATAAAGTCCCTTTAGATATATGATTGGTGCAAAAAACATTAAAATATTTTTCCTCTATGCCTTATAGAGATTTGGAAGGCAATAGAATCAAATACTTCACCAATTCTACCTTCCTGTTGTGTGAATCTCTCACAGTGCTGTAAGTATACAGTGAACTTCCACAAATGAGGGGCAACTCAGTAGAATTAGAGATCAATAGAAAGCTCTAGCAAGGAACTTTCAAGTAGTGTTTTGTCTACTCTTGGTCCACTGCAGTGCTAAAAAATGCACCCCTTGATTTACTGATTTTGATAGTGGGGCCTCGCCTTATTCTTAGCTGTCTATCACTTAGTTTCCAGGTGTTCTCCTTGTTTTTGAGGGCAGTTATTATTTCTTTGTATCCTCTCACATAAACTGGCACCTAACCCCAGGATCACCAAGGAAATGAGATAATGTATGTGAAGTGATTAGTCATGTTACTATTGCTAATGCCCTGACACATGTTACTTGATGTCTCTCTTTTTCTCTCTAAAGAAAAAAAATAATAATTTTATGACAAAGAGAAGGATATCTACTGTACTCTTATTGGCTAAAGATTTCTGGTTGATAAATCTGCTTGTTTATTTTGTGAAAGCAGGAGGGCAGATGGATTGGTTAATTGGCACATTTTCACTAGGCAAGCTCAAAAAAAAAAACAAAATTGCTTTTGTTTTAATAATAGTTTTCCATATCTAGTAAACAATAATTTTTTGCTGTTTGGATGGGTGGTTGGGAAAGAAAAATCAAAGTATATCCATTTATAGTAATCTGTTTTTTTTTTTTCCAACAAAGAGATCAGGCTTTTGCGTATTTGTCACTGAATGCAGAATAGTGGTACTTAATAACAAAGGCTGTCTCATTTAGGAGATGCAAAGGGTTTGTTCTTTTTCTTATAGATAATAAGAGAGGATACTGGAAAACTATTTTAAAAAGTTGCATGAACTTCTATTTTATAGCTCCATCTAGCTTTTGAATCATTTTCACATTTATTATCTCATTTGTTGACATCTCTGTAAGGCTGTTAGTGGCTGATTTCTCTTTTGCCCTTTGTCTCAGAGGATTCCATTTCTAAATGAAAGAAATGTAAAATCACTGTCTGTCTGTCCACCAATCTAAAATGTGTTTGTGCCCCTCCCCATCCCCATTCTCCCCCCACCCCCACCCCCGGGACTGCTATGGGGTTGGTTCAAGCTTTGTTCTTGTTGACTGTCTTCTCCGAAGGACCATGTCTTACTCAGGAATCCTCTCAAAGCCTTCTCTGGGCATTATTAACAAGGTCCAAATGCAACATTACGTGTGCTTTGGAAGAGAAACACTTTCTGAAATAATTAGAATCCAAACAAACTCCAGCGTTGTAAATCACACTCAATACTTCCAATTACTCATGGCAGCACTTCCTGGAGAGAATGTGTGGTTATCCTTGGTGAGACGCTAATGCTTGTGTTCCACACTGGAAAGTGCCTCGCTTTGAGACTTCAAAAATAAATTACACCCAGATCAATGGCATCTCCCAATGAAAACTGGTTATTGCAGGAGACACAAACCAACAGTGCTGACTCTCACCATGTCTTACAGGTTTCTGCCTAGAAATCAAATTGATTATGTTCCAGAGAAGACATTTTCTTCATTAAAAAATTTAGGAGAACTGTAAGTAGCTTTGTCTACTAGGAAAATAGGATTGCTTCTTCCAGGATTATAAATTTAACTGACTAGTGAGATTGATTTTTCACTAGTAACAACTAAAATCCTGTATATATCAAATATCCTGCTGGATATGGATATTAAATATCCTCCTGGATATTCAAAATCAATTCAGAAAAACAACATTTCCCTCAAGTCAAGAGAAAGTTGGATTTAGTCCACTCTAATTTTCTGCTGATTTTCTTCCAGTGATTTAATATGTATATATGATTGAGAGTAAACGAGTATTCCATGACTCCTAAAACTCAGGGCTGATTAGCCCTAGTGACTTGAGTACTATTAATTTTCAGTAAAAGGTTGTTGAATGAGTAAGTGGCTGACTGAAATAATATTAATTAATTGCAGCTGAACAAAGAAATAAAGATGCTTGTTATCCCTTAAGAAATTATGATTTTTAGGACAGATGGAGAAACTACCAAGATCTAGAATGAGGATTGGGGTCATTGAAAAATATCCAGAGATTTCATGTTATTTTTTTCTGTTCAAATATATGTGTTATAGAATGAGTCTTTTAAAAAGTATCTGCCTTGCCATTAATTCACCACTTCCCACAAAATTATGCATCTGGATGTTGAAATTAAGTCTGTTCTATTACAAATACTGGCAATTAGTACAGAACACTCCCCCTCCAGATCTGAGGTCTAAAAATAGAAATTATTATCTTAATTAACCTCTCTCCCATCCTTTATACCTTGTTTTGAAATCCAGAGAGAACTGGGACATATAAGTCATTTGAAAAATAATTTATAAATCATTAAGATAATTCAGTCTAATTAGTGAGTGTCATGAAGCAAATCAGAATTTACTAAATGCTGAGTATGTGCATTAAAATTAAAAAATTGTTATTTTTAAAATTAAAGGCAGCTCTCTCAGAAGAGTTCTCTCATTTCTTTCAGGGGTGTTCCTGATAAGATCTTGGGGGATGGGTGTGGGTTTGGGTCAGAGGGGTAAGTGGAGTAACATCGCAGGTCAAATGGGCATGTTTTATGTAGAAACCTAAGGAAACAATGGTATGGCATCCATATTTTGAAAAATTATCCTTTTATTCTAGACTTGGGCAGAACCAAACACACCTCTGCAAAAAAAAAAAAAAAAAAAAAAGCCCAATTATGAGAGATGTGGCTTTTTGAAAGGCCAGCTCTAGCCCATTCCAATCCACTTAAGATCAGTGAGCTAAAAGTTATTTGAGTTTGCAAAAAGGTTGACTAAGTTTGATGTGCCTTTATTATGACAAATCCTTCCTGGAATGGAATGAGCACACAAAGATGAGGCTTGTAGAGCCCTTCCCCCTTAAAGAATGTACTTTATTTCTCAAGAGAACTGTCTGCAGGCCAGTTGCTAGATGTACAAGGTCACCATCATCTTGCTTTCTCTGACCTGTATACAATGGTGTTTTTCCACCTGGCCTGTGACTCAGATCCTGCCTCTCACTACATCAAAACTCCCAGCTGGCAGGACCTCTACATTTGGATGTCACGACTGCACCTCCAAAATAGTCTGTTTATAGATGGCCCTTACCTCACAGTCAGCGTCCCCTCTGGACTTGCCATTTTATTGGTATCAGCATCCTTCCTGCCAGATAGCTCCAGGGAAGTCTGTTCTCTTCTCTCTTACACTTTTCTACTTTAAGAGCTATCAAACTATAATCCCTGCAAGTGCTCACCCACCACCCTGCACCCTTTAATCCTCATCAACTCTCATCTGATCCAGGGTCAAAATCTCCCAATTTTCTTTTAGGGCAGAATTTTCACCCCATAACCTACAGCCTTTTATACCACTGTTCTGCTTACTATTGTCCTTCCTTGTTGCCTGTTACTTATAGAAGTTTCTAACACAGATCGCAAATGTCAATGTGCAGAAGAATCATGGGAGATATTGGCTCTAAGTACATGCCACCTGGCTCCCTTGCAGAATTTCTGGGGTGATAGTTCTGGAGTTTGCACCAGAAATGTGCTTTCTAGTAAGCATCTTCCTTGATTATAATGACGGGGCTATACTCTGGGAAATACTGTCTTGGAAGTTGTTTCTGATTCTTCCATCCTGTCTCCATCTCTCTCCACGCTCACTTCCCCTACCTCTCCTTATTCTTTCTCTTCTCCATTCATGGTGAACCACCATGAATTTCATGCATCTGTTTCGCTGATCCTGCCTAACCCTCACCTAAAACACTGCTCTTCTTGAACTCTGCCTATAAAAATCATCAAGCTTTGTCCAAACATTACCTGATTTCCCTGGTCACGTGCAAGGACTCCGTCTCCTGATTTTTATCTGTGATTCTGTAGTAGCACTTTTATTCTTTCCTTGCTTTGCAATCTAGTTGTTTACCCTGACACTAAACTTTTGAGAGAAGGAGCTAAGTCTTGGTTACTAGTAACTCCCTCATATCCATCAGTAGCTTCAAAGTACCAAAAATAAACAAAAATTTTATTTGACTCTTAGGTGATTTCATATCTGCTTCATCTTTACACTATTACCTCAGAATATTTGGACACTAAGAGTTTCCTTATTCCTTTTGATCCTAACAAGTCTCTTTTCCACATTCTATAGACATACTTCTTTGTGATTCCTTATGGGTTGGATAGTCTAAATGTGTGAACTGTAACATTTAAGATTATTGGAGCAGAAATTATGTGGCCAATACTATCTTGTTAGAATGTAAAATAACTAGAAGGCCTCAGAAAACTTTAATATTTTGTTGGGCAAACAAGTTATTGCCTACATTTACCAAGTAGGAATCACAAACTATGAATGGTAGAAATGTACAAAGAGTACCAAGAAATTAATCAAAGTAGATACTGAAGCCAGGTCGGACATGTGTTGGAAAGGATGTGAGAGGAAATTCCAGACAGGAACTGGATGAACAAATTGTCACATGTCTGAAAGTGATGGAAAACATACCCATTTGGCTGGCGCACATGGCCTGGTTGTGTAACAAGTTATCAGGTTGGTTGAATTGGATCATATTTTCTGTTACATCAAATGGAATGAATAAGCGTGAGCACCATTAACTGTGTTGTTTATTTCTAATGCAATTGCTTTGGGTTTTAACTGTCACCAACAGGGATCTATCTAGCAATATGATAATGGAGCTACCACCCCACATTTTTAAAGACCTGAAGCTTCTACAAAAACTGTAAGTTCTTCTTGTCATCATCAGATTGAAATGGCAACAGTTTGAGCTTCCAAAATAATAATATCCTGATGCTTCTTCCCTTCTTCCTTCTAATGGTACAAAAGGAGTCTGTCGTCCAATCCTCTTTTGTATCTCCACAAGAACCAGTTTGAAAGTCTTAAGCAACTTCAGTCTCTGTAAGTGAAATAAAACAGTATGCTGATTATCATTTTAGTGGATGCACTTTACCTGGAAATATATTTATGTTTAAATGGTGTTTGATACACAGAAGGGTTTTTATTCAGGTAACCTCACATGATTACAAAAATTTGTTGCCATCTGGTGTTTGTTGAAAGACAACGAAGTCGCATTTTGTACCATCCAGTAGGTGTAAAGACTGTTTCTGTGTTTGAAGCTGTATACATTCCTTCAGAAAACTGGGTTCATGTGGAAAAATCTTATCCTACAGTTTTCACAGAGAATTAAATTTTCGATATTTTTGTTACTAAGGTTTCTAAAACACAAATGAGATCAATTTGCCTGCTTTTTCCTTCCCCTTTCTCTCAGTAATTTATTTTATATCTGTCTATAGTGTATACTTTTAGCTTTTACATCAGTAAAAAATATATTACCCCACAAACATGAATATTCATATAATTAAAGTTACTTCATATTCTAAAAATGTGAAATGCACTAGGTTTCAAATAATCTGAAGAACTCTGCCAGTTACCCTTTGAATGTCAGCCTTCCTTTTCCATGAATAGCTGTTGTTAGTTAAAAATTATTTTCTTATTTTTACATAGAGTATATTGTCTCTTGATCTCAGCCTAAAGTTTTTCTTTAATTCCAGTGACCAATACTTATATTCCCTTTTATTATTGTTAAATAGTTTTCTATTAGAATTTAACAAAGATATATGATCTCTCTGAGTAGATATTAATAAGCATTCCACTAATGAAAAAGACTTGTTTCTGCTCTCAAAAACTAGAATATAAAACACAAAAAAATAAAATAATACTTTGTTTAATATAAGACAGTTCCCAGGATGTAGAGAAAATGGATCTTCCCTTTACTCACCAAATACTAAAATCGTAAGTCAAAATACCAAGTTAATACATCATGAAAAGTCAGAGAACTGTCTACATTATTCTTTTTTTTTCTTCATGTCTTTCTTTTTTGTCTCATTTATTTTTGCTACAGCTTTATCAACACACTTCCTATTCATTGAGCACCATGTATTCATAGCACTGTCTTAAACGTCCAGGACAGAGTTGTCACTGCTCTTTAGAGACTAAGCTATTATTCAAATAATTACACAAACCATGTAATACTAAAACTTTTTAGTCCAGCAGAAAGGTGGAAAGCAGAAGAAGAAATTTTTTTTTTCCAAAAGATTCAAAAGTCTTCTGCAAGGAAGCCCTTGTGATGACGTATGTAGTTACTCCTCTATGTTTCAGTTTTGACTCTGAAAGAGCAGAGTGATTCCTCCGTGAAGGACTCACTGGGCCAAAGAAAACTCACAACATGAAGGCTTTATTAAGATTAGTTAACATTAAACTGAGCAAGAATCAAAGATCTTTCTAAGTAAAAACATAAAGCTTCCATCTTTTTAGATTTTTTTTTCTCCAGCTGTGTTTCCTGAGCATGTGGCAGGTTCCCATAATTCATGCCATCATTCAAGAGATCTGCAAGGAATCCATATTTGAAAAGACTGGTAGATAATTAGGAGCCTAGGGGTGATTCTGGGAACCTTCTGAGGACATCTTATTGGGCCTATAGGAATGAATGGAATTATATTTCCCACTGTTGTCTTAGAAAACAATTATCTTGGATTGGAGCTCTTACTTCTGCCTCTTTGGATTTCTACCCCAAAGACATGTAGACCAGGAAAAAAAAATAACTGGATTTAAATCCAGATTCTTCACAAAACCCATTTCAGTGATACTTTTAGGTTGGAAGTATTAGTTCCTATCAGAAACCAACTAACTCACATGTGGTTCAAAACTCATGTGGTTCAAAAAATTAAGCTACAAAACCAATTTTATAATCACACAAATCAACACTGCCATTTTAAATCAAAGAAATGAATGGCAGTGATCTTTAGAATGTATTCTGCTTGTGAAGTGACCAAATCATCCCAGACTTATCAGAAATAAGATAACTTTTTTCTATTTCTATAAATAGAAATGGGAATTTTCTAAGATAGTTTACTGTAAAATGTTCATCCTAATTTGAGTTGGTTACATACAATTTGAAGCATGATAGTTGGGATGGATAGTTGGGATGTGACATAGAGTACAGTTATTGAAATGTTAAACCCTTAAAGCATTAAACCTTTTGTTCATGTTTTTTAGAGACCTGGACAGGATAGAGATTCCCAATATAAACACACAGATGTTTCAGCACATGAAGAATCTTTCTCACATGTATGTATGTATAAAAGAATGGAGAGCAAAGTGAAATGTTTCAGATAATCTCATGTAAACTGTCAAATTTATCACTGCAATGTGTTTTTATGCAAGAAAAGTCTTTTTATTGAGAACTTTTTAATTTTGTCACCTTTGGTCCCTGTTCAAATAGAGTTCAATATTATGATGTGCCGACATGAATGACACTTCTCTCTGGAAACACGCTGTTTATCCAATTGAGGCCCAATAAGAGATCAGGGTACCAGAATGCCACATATTACACAAGATGAAGTCACTGGCTAAATGGTACTCAGGCGACCTGGAAACATTAATTCACCTCACATGAATGAGCAGTCGGCTGCTCTAAGATTTGAGCCCTTAGGAAGAAAGGTGCTATATAAATTCCAGGTGTTGTTACTGTTACTAAGTGCACTACAAAATGGAGGTAATTAATCTTTATAGTAGTTTTTGATAAGTCACTAATATATTTGGCTAAAGTGCACTGTGTAAGTTGTGTTAATATATTGTGTTTTGACAATCATTTCTTTATAAACTGTATAATGTATGTTTTCATTTTTTCAAAAATTAATCCTTGTTATCCACAACAATAGGGAGGATTCGATGTAAGATTACAAGTTGGGTGCAGCAAGTGGATGAAATGGTTGGTGTGAAGGTGCTCTTTGGGGATAACATTTTATTTACGTTTGTATAGTAGGTGTAGCTAAAAGATAAGCATTTGACGCATATCCAGATGGTTTTGTAATTTATCTTTCTGTGGCACCAAAGATAAATATTTAATGAGGCTATCAATTCCTTATTGCAGGCAGAAATGTGAGGTTTTCTTAGAACAGAGGAATTTAACCTTTTTAGAACATAATTGAGAATCAGCCATTTTAAATATGAATGTCAGGTTGAGGTCAAGAAGGACCCAACAATTAACAGAAAGTTTGCTTGCTTAGCTACTTCCTGCTAAGTGAAGTTTTTCATCCCCTTTTCCTGACACTTAATGAAACACACCCACCTCAGAGCCCCCATCCTCTCCACCTGCCAATCAGAGCTGTGGTACAGCAGGAAGACAGGTTGAATCTCTGAAGGATCCCAGCTGGCTCTATCTGAAGACCACCGGTGGATGTGATGGAATCCTGCAAGACCAAAGAGGTCAAGTCAAGTGTGTGCCAGGGGCTCTAGGCACAGAGAAGAAAACAAGGGAATTATACGTCAAGACCTTTAATTATTTAGACGATATCGAGAAGTTAGACTGTAAATTACTTCCAAGCCAGGGGTTGCTTCCTATTTCTCTACCTGCATGCTCAGCATGATGACCCATCATTCATTTGCTTATCTAAGGACTTGTTGACTATTTTCCATGTGTTAGGAGCTGTTCTAGATCTGAATACACAGAGATGAACAGGAGAAAGAAGAATGCTCCACAGAGCTTCCATTTAGCTGTGAGACCCAGAGAATAAACAACTAAATAGTTAATAAGTGCTGTGAAAAAAGCACAAAAGTAAAGTGAGTTATAGGGACAGAGGGAGGATGGAGAGGGCCACATAGAATTCCAAGAGATATGACATAGCAGCATGCCTTTGTGGAGGATGGGGTGTCCTGGCACTATCGAGGGAAGAATCTTCCAGGCTGAGGGAACAGCAAGAGCACTATACTGAGTAGGAGATGAGCCTGGCTCATTTGTGGAGGATTTGAAAGAAAGGTCAATGTGTCACAGTGCGTGATTAAGAGGAAATGAGGTAGATTCTGCAGCCAGGGTTTTGATCATGGGGGACTTTGAAGCCATGGCAACATAAACTTGCTAGTCTAGAATTAAATGGGGAGATAACCCCAAAAAATGCTTAGATGCAGAAATGTGAAATAAGTGTAAAATACAGATGTATAAAAATAGAATGAGTTTTATGGAAGAAAATCCTAAAGGTTTGGAGAATGGAAATAAGTCAAATAGCCTCCCCAATTCAAATACTACAAGATTCCACAAGCCTAAATCATAAATACATTGATCACAAACAAGCCTATATTTTCCTCTAGAAATTGCATGAACCCTTCCCAGCCCTGGTAAGAAATCTGTGTTTAAGGCAGCTGCTTCTTCTCCTAGCTCCAGTGAGATGACTTTTCCTAGTCTCAGTAACTCTCCCTTCCTGCCAGTGTCACGGGAAAGGAGGTTAGTTGAAGTGAGTATATTTTGAACTAAGTAGATGACCGAATTGTTTGTAGTGAACTACCATTGGTCCCTTACATTCTAAACTTAAACCCCTGAATGCTTGCTAGCAATCAACTTAACATTGACCAATCTATTTTTTATAATACTCTGGAGAATAATCCAATATGATGGGGGAAAAACAGTCCTGGATGCCACATTCTCATCATCTTGCCTCCCTCACTTCACACAAGCCATGGAATTTCTATACTCTTTAGGTTTTTCATCTTACTACCTAGAGTAAAAATACAGTAAAGAACTCTATTCTCATGTAATCACTACTAAACAAGAAATAAATAGACCTAATAAAGTTGCATATCTAACAGAGCTGCGGCCCTGATAGGATGGCAACTATAGTTTCTCTGTCATTGCTGTAAAGTGACTCTTTTTTTCCCTTTGACTTTAGTTATTTCAAAAACTTTCGATACTGCTCCTATGCTCCCCATGTCCGAGTATGTATGCCCTTGACTGACGGAATTTCTTCATTTGAGGACCTCTTGGCTAACAATATCCTCAGAATATTTGTCTGGGTTATAGCTTTCATAACCTGCTTTGGAAATCTTTTTGTCATTGGCATGAGATCTTTCATTAAAGCTGAAAACACGACTCACGCTATGTCCATCAAAATCCTTTGTTGTAAGTATGTTTATGATCTAAATAGATTTAGGATATCTCCTGTGAGCTGTGCACTAGATATATTGGCCTTCAGCAAATGATATTTAGTGTCATATACATGTACTGTGGATCTTTTCCCAAGTATGAAGGTTCTGTTTTGCTTGGCTGCTCTGTTATATTGCATGACTTTGCAGTGCTTTAATGATACGTACCTTGGAAGTTATGTCTTGAAAATGGGTGAGCACATGAAATCAAGGGATGGACTCTGGAGGACAGGTTTTGGATTATAACACCAAATTTTGTTTACCTTCAATCACAATAATTTCCTTGCTCCTCAAGCCCAGAAAATTGTCCTCTATTTACTATTCAAGTAATTCATGTTTACTGTTTAAAGACTAGCTCCCCACAACCACCCCATCTTTTTATCCACAGAACAAGTAGGCTTTCTGGAACTTTAGGAAGAACACACCTTTTGAAACCCATTGGCTTCTAGATTAGTTCCTATAACACAGGTTGAAGGAAGTAGCCCTAAGCAGAAAACTAAGATGCTGGAAATAAAATCAATCAAATTTGGAACAGATGCTGAGAACTAACAACATACACTGTGTTGATTCATCAACAGGTGCAGACTGCCTGATGGGTGTGTACTTATTTTTCATTGGTTTATTTGACATGAAGTACCGTGGGCAGTATCAGAAGTATGCACTGCTGTGGATGGAGAGCTTACAATGCCGCCTCATGGGGTTCCTGGCCATGCTGTCCACTGAAGTCTCGGTCCTGTTGCTGACCTATCTGACTGTGGAGAAGTTCCTCGTCATTGTCTTTCCCTTCAGTAACATTCGTCCTGGAAAATGGCAGACCTCAGTTATCCTCATTTGCATTTGGATAATGGGGTTTTTAATAGCTGTGATTCCATTTTGGAATGAGGATTATTTTGGAAACTTTTATGGGAAAAATGGAGTCTGTTTCCCACTTTATGATGACCAAACAGAAGATTTTGGAAGCAAAGGATATTCTCTTGGAATTTTCTTAGGTAAATTATATTTTTCACTTCATGACAAATATGATTTTGATCTACATACCATGAATTTCAGCAAAGGAGAATTTATCCATTTCAGAAAGTAGGTGAATATAGTCAAGACTGTCTTTTCTAAAGAAAAACATTTGTTGTCTACATGTAGAAGTTTTCATTAAACTTTGTATTATGTTAGTGTAGAAAACAGCAGCATACATTCAGGAACTTTAGGCGATCGTTTTGTTAGCTCTAAGACCCTTGGCTTTCACGTTCATTCATGACTCTGAGCTGGAGGAATTCTATCTTGTCCTTTGAATCCTCCAAGTTATTTGAATCTTTTAACCCTTTAACATTAAGAAAGTTTTTATTGCCTGAGAGGTATCACTCCTGCTTAAATTAAAGCAGTTTCCTTGGCCTCTTTTAAACTAGGACAGTATTATTCTCTCAATTCCCCTTACTTGTCTTCCCTCATCTAAACAAGCAACAAGCTCCACTATCCTTTCTTTTCCATCAAATACTTTTTGTTCAAATATGATTTTTTAATCTACCTTTTTCCAGTTTCTACCCACTGCTATCAACTTTGACTAAAAGATTCCTCCAAGTCATTTGAATCTTAAATTAACCCTTTAGCATTAAAGTTTGTCCTCTTCTATCTCAACCTTGAGTTACTACATTACCTTTTACTGGCCTTGTAGCCTTTGGGACATTTTCTCTCCTATTTATCTGTTCTCTATCACTATTAGAATCTCCAGCTAACCAAAAGATTGTGTATGCCCTTGGTCAGAGACCTTCAATGATGCCTTGATACTACAAAGGTCAAGTCTGGTTAGTCACTTACAGCCCGCCATAAATGATGCCAATTACGATTCCCAGCTTTTCTTCATTTTTTTTCTTCCTCCTTGAAAAAAGACTTTGTACTTGTACTATTTTATATTATTCTTCACTGACTACTTACTTTATAGATGATTTTTCATGAATTTGTCACTCCTATAATGTTGTAAATTATTTCTAGCACAGGTACACTTTATGAAGAATGCCTCACACACACATATGCACACACTCACACACATGCACACATACATACATTACATTAATTGATTCAACATGAATTTATTAAATACCTACTATAGCTAGGCACCATTTTGGGCACTGGAGATACAACAGTCAGTCCTTACAGATCTGCAGGTAGAGTCTGAAGATAAATAAACAAATCTTTATATCACAGACAAATTCTGTGAAAGGAGAAGTACAGGATGTTCTACAAGTTGCAGATCTGAGGACTAGAGGTAACATTCCAACAGAAATTAATCCAAACTGAAGCACAAAAGATGAGGTGGCTTTAGTCAAATGAAAGACAGACATTGTTTTCCAGGAAAAGACAGAAGATTTAGAGGCACAGAATTAGGAAATGGTCCCAGATGAAAGAGGCTGGGAATGAGTTCATCTCGGTGGTGGTAGTGGTGGTGGTGGTAGTGGTGGTGGTGGTGGTGGAGGGAGGGACATACTCTAAAAGAATTCTAACATCTGTGATATATTCCAGATAAAGAGATAGTGACGCATACATCATCATCATCTATATATATGTGACTGACTTATAAGGGAAGGCAGCGTAGGATTCTTTTTATTACAGAATATAATACAGTTTTTTAAATTATTTTTTAAAATTTTTCAGTAGATATTTTTAGGAAAAAAAAGTTGTAAGGGTCCCATACACTCTGACCGAGTTTCTTCTGTTAACACCTCATATTCCGAATACACATTTTTGATCCTTTCTATAAGTCTCCTTTTAGAATTTGTACCAGAGTATCATTTTCAATAGTCATTTTACTCTTAAATTTCTAACAGGAGTATACTAAGATAAATTAATTTTATGAAACTCCAATGTGTATGTTTGTAATATAGAGTTCATGGAAAATTAAATGTTTTGGATAAAAAATGGAATACCTTGAATTTGTATTTTTTCCCAGACTTCTTTAACTTTTACTTCTTTAACCTAGGGTCAGATGAATTTGTTTTAGAAAAACTTGAAATTCTATGTAAATTTTGTGTTCATTATGAGGAATGAGATGATCAATCTTAGGATTTTCATCATAAAAAGAACAAAACAAAATAATTAAGAAGTCAACTTTATAGATAGTAATGTTAAGTGAGAATCTTCTGAACATATTTGACCAAAAAGAGTGATTCATAGAATTGAATTTTTTAGATTTTTTTTCTTATTCTCCCTTTTTTAAAAAGAAGATTTATTTATTTATTCATACAGAACTGGGGTACAGGCCAGAGATAAGAAGGGTGAGAGGATTCACCAGGGACAGAGTTGGGAGCAGAACAGGCAGATCGACAAAGTACACTGCTGAGGGGAGCAGCGGGCGGGTCAGGAGAGGTCTGCCACACCATGTGGTCACCTCCGGGGCAGGTGGGGATGAATTCATGTGGAAGTGGCTTAAGCTTCTTAGTGCAGTGCTTTAACCCGCTGCGCCACCAGGGAGGGTCCTTTTATTCTCCCTTTTTAAAGTGAATTCTGAACTATAGTAATTTAAATTACTGCAGTAATATGAAGAAAAATAAGCAATGATATGTTCTTACTCTATTTAATATTTTTAATTTTAGTTGACTTTTACACCTGAGATGTTCAGAGGTGTGCTTTTCCCAACAGGTGTGAACTTGCTGGCCTTTCTCATCATCGTGTCTGCCTATATTACTATGTTCTGTTCCATTCAAAAAACTGCCTTGCAAACTTCAGAAGTAAGGAATCACATTGGAAGAGAGGTGGCTGTTGCAAATCGTTTCTTTTTTATAGTGTTCTCTGATGCCATCTGCTGGATTCCTGTATTTGTAATTAAAATTCTTTCCCTCTTCCGAGTGGAAATACCAGGTCAGTCTCTTCTATTATTCCCAAATACACTGTGTCTTCTTACCCCCTTTGTTTGATGATGTCAGATATGCATGTGTGTGTGTGGTACACACATACACACAGAGTATAGTATTACTATACATATATATATACAGTATGTGGTATACTGAACATACAGTACAGTATATATACATCTGTATATACAGTACAGCATCTTACATACAGTAATTTCTCATTAATGCCTACAATGTCAATATAAAAATTATTATTTCTCTGTCTTTTATGATCAGTATTCTAAGATTGAAATCTGGCATTAAAGCAATCCAAAGAAGAAAATACAGCAGCTAGAGAAAAGCTGCATCTTAGTATTTTGCTTTTACCTGAATTAGGTACTGGTTCTTCACCAAGAGTACACATAGAAAACCAAATTATACATGCAGCATATGTATACATACTATAGTTCCAACCCAGAGTATCTGGGTTTCATTCCATAAAAAGTAAAGCCGGTATCGTCGAGGGATATGTGTTTTGGATACGATTCCCATGTGGCTCTGACACACACAGTCCAGGTGGACAACCTCAGTCTGTTTTGCCAGCCCAGGCCAATGGTTGTCTCCTGGGTTGTGAGGGCTAGGTTGTAGAGGCACTCCATCCAAAAGGCCACACACAACCCAACCTTAACCAGAGAAAATCACCTTTCTGATCAGGATTTTACTTGAAGCCCTTCCTGTAACCTAGAAATCAAAGCTGGCTTGGGGCCCCCGAGGCATCAGCATGGTACATGGTGAAACAATTTTGGGATCAACTTATGGCACTTGTCGATTGCAAATCTACTTGGGAAGTACACCCAAGGCAGAAATCATCAGACTCTCCTGGTACTCCAGCGTCAAGTCTGGAGTGATGACTGGGAAGCCATTATGATAGAGCGGAGAACGTAGAAACAGCTGGAATAATTGACTTCTCTCTGACTCGTTCATGAGAGACCATGTCAGATGCCTCACTGCAAAGTGGCACAGCACATCCCCAGCATCTGCTTATCCCCAGCTTGGCTCACTTTAAGGTATAGATGGCTCTGAAACCATGTAAGATGTAGAAATGAAGATTAAGGAGGGAGAACAGGACTGACTACTTGAAATGGGAGCCATTGCTGGGTGGCACAAGCAGAAGCTGTAAAAGTATATTCAGTTGCTGGGGGGGAAGCCAGACTTTCTGTAAAGAGCAGAGTTCATGAAACGTAAGCAACCACAGCAGGGATGTGGATAAAAAGTCTCCAGTCTACTCGAGCTACCTGGATTACCTCCATTTTTACATCCTAACATTTCTAATTCAACAAGACTGAGATGTCTTTTGGCCACCGTTGCTCATGGAATAAAGTTCAGGCTGGAATTAGCATGAAAACATTTCTTACCTCCCTCCCCACTCACACATATTCTGTGCTCCATGTGCTGTAAAATTATTGGGCTTCTATTCTGCATTTGTTAAAGTCTTCCCTTTGCTGAAACTATTCCCTCTCCTGAATTTTATTTTCAGCCTACAATATTCTATGAAACCCTTCTTCTCATGCTTCAAGAAAGCTAAATATTCCTTCTTCCATGGTATCATTCCAGACTTCTCCACAACCTACTCACATCCAACACAGCTGCTTAAATGCCTGTTGTGCAGCTTGCTAATTTAACTGCATTTAAATTGACTTATAGCATGCTTCTTTTTTTAAATGCATTCATCACACCTTTCAGAGTGTAAGTTTCAGGAGGGTAGGGCCCCATGCTTTATTTGTCTGACTGTGTGATTTTCACCTAACATTATTTAATATGGCAGTTATAATTACGGATACTGAACTGGCCCAAGAATGATGCTAGAGGTAGATTTGTCTTATCAACCTCCCAACTTCTGTTTCTACAACTTTCCAACCCCAAGCACTGGCTTTTTTGGTTGGGAGGCAGCCTTGTTGGGCACAAGAAGGGCCAGGTGAGACAGGCAGGATTTACGTATTTTTAAAATATTTTTGACCTGGTCAACTGAATACTTATAGCTTATTTGTGGACCAATCCTGCCACTGACCAGTTCAGGGAATTTAGCAAAATTTCCTCAGCTGAGACTCTAAGACACCTAGACCATATCCAAGTGCTCTTTCAGTTTCTTTCCACTTAGTCTTCTGTGAGTCTGTTAACTTCTTTGAGGCTTTTTCTCTCTGAACTTAGAGCCTCTCATGGGCTGGCAAGCTGTACCTGCTCACCATGTCCTCACATGGTGAGGACACTCCCTGGGGGTCCACATGTGCTTTCTTACAAGGACATCCTCCAGATTGGAATAAGGCCCACCTTAGTAGCCTCATTTTAAATCAGTCACATCTCCAAAGGTCCTATCTCCAAAAATAGCCATACTCTGAAGTACTTGAGGAGAAGAGAGGAGTTCAAACAATACATTTGAGTGGACAGGGGAGGACACAATCATTAGCATACTCTGATTTGGAATTAGCAGCTCTCTAGTGACCAGAGATAGTGATAGCAGGAGTATCATCATCCTTGGCATTTCAGATCATCCAAAATTTCTTCCCATAAAACACTTTTGTGTCATCTTTCCCTTACTATTGTATTAGTATTTATATAAAGCTTCTTGCAAAAATAATTCTGTAAGTTTGGAGAATGTATTCTTTGTTCTTCATGTCTTCAGTGTCCAAGGACAATAGGGAAATGAGGTGGAAAAATAGGCTCTCCAGATTAAGTCAAACCAAGGTCAGGTCTAATTCTAGAGCAGAAGTGTCCTCAACACTGTTCTATTGACAAAAATTATGTCCTTATTTTCCTATTCACCAGTTTAAAAAAAAAAAACATTATCTTCTGTATAACTCATGAAAGTGTTCCCTTTCATTATTTTATAAAAAACCTACAGAATTGTCACTGCAATTCAGGAAAGTTATATGGCAATGCTTTGACTGCATCGCTTGTGAGTTCTTCCCACAGAGATATTCACTAAGATGAGTGAAGTGGATTGCCTCTCAAAGACAGCACTCATGCAAGCTCTTAATATGTTTATTTGTGTTTAAAACCTCACTCCTCTTTTTCATACTTCTTTTCCCTCTCCAGGCACCATCACTTCCTGGATAGTCATTTTTTTCCTTCCAGTAAATAGTGCCTTGAACCCAATCCTCTACACTCTCACAACCAGCTTTTTCAAAGACAAGTTGAAACAGTGGCTGCACAAGCCTTGGAGGAAAGTGATTTTCAAAACTAAAAAGAAAAGTTTATCTACATCCATTGTATGGACAGATGACTTCTCCTCACTTAAACTTGAGGTTTTGAACAAAATCAACCTTGGGGACAGTATAGTGAAGCCAGTTTCCTAGTAATGTTTTGAATCTGCACTTTCAATGGACTACCTGAAAAAAAAAAATACAGCATTTGGAAAATGACATCATCATGCTTTCATCTTCACCAGTAGCAAGCCTTTCTGCACAGAGAGCACGGCTAGTGACTTCTGCCCCTGCATCCCAGTGGCAGCTGACTACTGTCAACTGTATCTAAGGTTCCTGTTGCCTTCACATGGCTGACTTGCACCACCGAATGCAAGAATAGTAGGTTGACATGCAGTTGACCTCTAGCTAGTCAGCACTACCTATTACCAGCAAATGTTCACGTTAGTACCACATAGTCTGCATTTAAATTAAGATGCCCTGTCAGTAGAATAAAAACATTCACAACATCTCATTCAGTGTAACCATAACAACAGAAGACTGACATCGCTTTCCTTGCCTTTTCAATATCCATCCTTCTGAAATGATAACAAAGGATTTCCGAGATGTTTGCCTTCCTCAAATCCTACCCTAGGAAGGTGAGTGGAGTAAAAACTTTGGGGAAGTTCATAAAAAAGTTATCATGTGTAATATATGACCTCACACACACAATGATGAAACCTCGTACCAGTCACCTTGTTGACTTTTATTTAATGTAGAAGATCTTAGATCTCAGATGAGATATTTTTCTTAAGGTTGCCCAGGCTACAAAAGAAAATAAGGCACTCCAAATGCCAAAAAAATATATTTTAACATGTTTTAAGTATAACTTGTTTAAAACATATCCCTATGACTGGCACGTTATACATTCCTAGAACACACAGAAAAGAGGTGTTAAAGGGAATTTAAGAAGTGTGCTTGATTTGGGATCATTTGCATACTTGGATCAATTCCCATTGTTTTTAACAAAAAGGCCAGTAAGTTTGGATTTGCTTTGTGAAAATAAAAAGTCAGGGCCTGCATGTGTTTTTATGATGAAAGTTTGTATGTGAAAATGAATCAGGTGAATAAAATTTTATTTTGCATTTGTCCATTTATTATTTTAAGCTCAACAAAGATCATAGTAAGTTTTATTGGCTGGTTGAGAATATGCGTAGGAAGTAGAACTTCAGTTAACAAATCACATCTTAGATTTTTCTTCTTTTCTTTTTCACAGTTTGAGTCAGTAATTTAAATGATTTGTTGTTCACTGCACTCTGAGTTCCTGTAATGAAATGTAGGGCAAGACACTGACTGGCAATACCAGTTATCCCACTGAATAGTAAATAAAACACCCTTCTATCCAGTTGCATTCAGAAAATACTCTCTGTCTTTATGCTTATCTCTCATTACTTAATATTTGCTAAAGTCATTATGTGAGTTCCTTCATTTTGCTCAGTGAGATTTTTTACGTCAATGAAATCCTTCCATTGGATTCTAGAAATGGCATTCCTATTCACTTACGAGGCAGTCTGTCCTTTTCCGTATGATTTCAAACTTTCCTTCATCTTGTATCTTCACTATGACTAGTCACTTCATAACATGTTTTCTGTATTTTATTAAATGATCCCTGCTTTGATCATCTATGGTTTATTTCCTAATACACTTCTCAACGTCAAGAACCTACAAAAGGAAAAGAAGTTGAGCCTAGGGAATGTCAATCTTAGCACAAATGTGTCTTTCTTCATGGAAATCATGAAACATGGTCCATGAATCAAGCATCTTGGAACTGTGATTGTGTATTTCTGCACTCTGGCCGGCAAACAATGGACATGAGGAGCACAAGATCAAATGCATCAGGGAAGTTGGCAACATATCTCACTAAAGAATTAAATTCTGGTGGCTTGGTGATTTACAGTCTTATTCTGTACTATTATATGTAGAGAAAACCATCAGAAATATATTTGATTTTAGCATTTCATATTCTTATATCTGAATTGAGTGAGTGTTAAGTGTTAGGTCAGATTTGTTCTATAAATGAACAAATGAAAACACCAGCGCTGTTAATGAACAGTTTTCCATAACAATATAAATATCAGTTAAGTATCACTACAGAATGTAAGACGTCATACAGTGTGTGGCCACTGAGTGGAAGAGTGTGAAGACAAATTACCTAATCCAAATCCCCAGTGAAGATCTACACATGACCAACATCTTGGCTTGAAAAGAAAAAGATATTCTGAAAAGTCAATATGGAGATTTAGAGAAATGTGCCGAACAAAGGTATGTTGTTTATCTGAATTAGACATAGTGACACTTGTTAAAATCACTTTGTTTCATTTTTATGTTTATTTCTAATTAAAATGAAAAGTTTCTGTTCATTTCATGAAATTGATCCTTGATAGTCAGGGATTGTAAATGAAATTACAAATATCTAAGCTTTTGTATGTAGGTAGCAGCAGTATTATCTCCCTGTACCTCAACCCTGCAGTTCCATTTCCAATTCCTTATATCAAAAACAGGCACATCACCCTAATAGTTGTCTCTTCATGATGACTCTGAGGCCAGATAAAGTCAGTAAATGATAGATTGTTACATTTCTAGTTTTGCTACATTTTCCATAAATTATCACACCCAAAATGATTCTTCACTCAACTTTGTCATCCTGAAGTTTGTAAGCAACTCAGAGACCCAGAAAATAGACATGGTAGAAATGAGAATGGCAACCATTCCACCATAGTCACCCCCTCAAAATTGGAATGCCCAATTTTATTAAGGCCCAAGAATGTCAGAAGGAAATGTATCTTCTAAAGTCAGCGAGGAATTTATGTAACACTTCTTTTTAGCTTGTATTGTAATAGAAACTCTGTATATAGTTCAATTTAATAAGTAGCCTTATACAACAGTTATTCAAGAAACAGTATTAAATATAAGTGTTTCTGTTTTCTTACTCTCTTGCTTGGTGAATAAGAGAGGAAGAGTGATTACAAAGATCTATCATAATATTTATCTGATTATATATTTATCTCCTTACATGTCAGATGTCTAACATCCTGTTTAGGAAAGACAGAGATACATAATTAATAACAATATTGTTTACTTCTGAACCAGGAAAATGAAATTAAAATCATCTATTTCCCTTTTAAATGTCTTCTCAAGAGGATATCTCAAAGTCCTTGAAGAATGTTTTGCAAAGCTTGGGAACTGATTGAAACTTATTAATCAATAAATTTAATTAAAATAATCTTCAAGATATTTTTCCACATGACACACATGGAAAAATAAATTATAATTAGAGAATAACAACGCCAAGTGACAAAATTGTGGATCCAGGAATGAGGATCTTGGCCATCTGAATATCCTGGGCCAGCCTATGGTGGCACCTTTTTCTCTGGACCTGAGCACATTCATAATTATTTTGAGTTTTAAAGTTATAATTCATTTAAATACAAGATAAAGTATTTTTGGACTATCTGGAGATTAATAAAGCTTACACTTGTTTACCAGTTCTCTGAATTCATGATTCTAGGGTGTCTGGCTCAGTGGTGACTTTGTAACAGAAGTCTTTGTGGTGATGTATTTACTTGAGAACTCAAATTTCCATGTGTTGTCAGTTGGTTTTTACTATTTGTTTGTTTTACTTTTTGTCTGCTCACTTTGTTGTATTAGATTTTCTCCACAGAAGTTCTGTATACTCCAGCATCAGCATATTGGAAACTTCAGAAGAAACCCAAAGAACACATTGCAAGAGAAGGATTCCACTCCAGACTTCCCACTCTAGCCATTATGACCAGGATGGCACTATTTGTATGCTGTTTACTTTTAGTTCATGACTACACGCCTTGGACCAGGTCCAGAGGTCCTGCAAGGGGCAGGGGTAGGTATGTCATCCATCTTTCCAGAGTCAGTCTCCTGCTAAAAATGCTATCGGGTCATATGCCTGGGGGGTGATGCAGGAAATTCCAGGCCCCCATATGATTACCTCCTTAAGGCAGGTATATAAAAAGCCACTGGGCAGGCAGTGATTTCTTGCAGTTACTTTGTAGGTATAGGCCTGAGGATATACTATGGGCAAAGGGGAAGATCTGCTCTGCTGAGAATTATATATTCTCTTTCCCAGGCTGGGGACAAGGGAGAGACAGGGCTATGGTAGAGGAAACACCAAATAACCTTCCCAGTGAACAGGCTCCATTTCTGACTAATAATTTCTCGATTTTTCCTGCACTTTGCAATGGTTCTGGCTCTCCTCTTTGCTTAAACATGGTATCTACTTCCCTAGCTACATTCCAGATGTGACTGTTCCTCTGGAATCTGATCCATAGTATTCTTGAAGGAAATGGTGATTCAAGGAGATGGTCTGTCCACCAATTCCAGCCTGACAGATATCTAATTATTTTTAAACCTATCTGAAAATAACTAACCTGTCTCCTCTTCTGCTGTCCACTCAATAATAAAAAGCAAAGTATTGAGAAAAGGAAGCATTTACTAACATAGTGAAGGAGATCAACATCACCCTAGACAAAAACACAAAAATGCAAACTACATATCAATTTCTGTAATGAACATAGATACAAAAGTCCTCAACAAAATCTTAATAAATCCAATTCAATAATGCATTAAGAGCATTATACACCATCACCAAGGATCCACATCATGACCAAGTAGGACTTCTTCCAGGGACCAAGGATGGTTTAACATCCAAAAGTCAATCAATATAATTTAACAAAAAGGAACAACAGAAGGAAAGATAATATCAATAGAGACAGAGAAAGAATTTGACATGTTTTAACAACCATTTATGATTTAAAAAAACTATGGATAGATGAAACACTCCTCACGCTAATCTAACAAACCCAGAGAACCAACATCATTCTCAGAAGTGAAAAACTGAAAGGTCTTTCAACTAAAGTCTGGTGCAAAACAAAGACAATCTACTTTCACAACTGCTATTCAACATTGTATTGGAATTCCTAGCCAGAACAATTAGGTAAGAGAAGACTATAAAAGGAATCCAAATTGAGAAAGAAAGTAAAACTATCATTGTATTTAAACATGATTATATATAGAAAACTCTCACGTCTCTACCAAAAAAATTAATTGAAGCAATAAATCAGTTCAGCAAAATGGCAGGTTACAAAATCAACATACAAAAATCAATTGTCTTCCTGTGTGCAAACAATGAGCTTAAAGAGGAAGAAATAAAGAAAACATTCCCATTGACAATTGCATCAAAAATAAATAAATTCCTAGGAGTAGACTTAACAAAGGATGTGAAAGACTTATACAAAGATAACTATTAGATACTGTCAAACAGAAGAAGGCACAAGGAATTGAAAAGCTAATCACTGTTCATTGGGAGAATTAACACTGTCAAAATATCCATCGTACTCAAAGCAATCCATAGATTTAATGCAATAACTATCAAAATCTCAATAGAATTCTTCAAAGAAATATAACATATTTGAATTTCCCTGAAATTCATATAGAACCACAAAACACCATGAATAGCCAAAGCAATCCTGGAAAAAAGAGGAAGAATGGCAGTATCATATG